TTTTCTTTTTTTTTTTTTTTTTTTTTTTCATGCCTTCTAGTACTTGCACAAACGTTTCGGCAAGGCGGCGAGGATGGCGGGAAGCTTCGCTTTTATACTTCAGCTACTTTTGTACAGCGGCGTGGTACTGTACGCGCCCGCGCTTGCTTTGGAAGCTACCACAGGCATCTCGACAGCCGCGAGCGTAATCGGTATGGGATTAATCTGCACGTTTTATTCGACGATCGGCGGCATCAAGGCGGTCCTCATCACCGACGTGTTTCAAGGCCTGTTAATGCTGATAGCTGTGATCTTGGTGATCGCCACAGCAGCCGTGAACGCCGGTGGTCTCGATCAGATATGGGAAATCGCTCGCGAAGGATCGCGGATAGAATTCGACAGGTGAATATGATGATCGAATATTATTCACTCTTGACGCAGCAATGCACCACTCTGGCAATGAAATGACACTCCATACCGATTAACCACCGATAATTATTTGCAAATGAATCTTTCTCATCCGGGGAAACTTGATGCGTGTTGAAATGTATACAGGGTGGGCCAAAAGTTTCTTCCTGTATACTTTTTCTTTTCAATAAACCATCAAAACACAAAGAAAACATTAATTTTATCTTTTAAAAGTTTTAAAAATTACGCATTCATTACCCACCCTATACATTCGCTCGTTAATCTTCAACATAGACTTTAATAATATAATTTAATTTTTCTTATAATCTACAATGTCCACCTATGTCAATCGTAAGCATACTAATTGAGTTCATCGTACGTCTGAAGAAACGTTCATTTTCATGCAGCTTTACGACAGCTAAGGCCGCTTTAAATTACAACTTGTCAAATAAATAAACACGAAGATTTCCGTTCGAATTACCGTCTGAAATCTCCGTGGAAATTTGTTCGACAGAATATTGCGATATCATCACGCTTTGCGTATTGTCCGGAGCGCCGAAATAATCAGAGCATGCTTCTTTAATCGTCATTATAATGCGAACCGTTACGTTGTACAACGCGAGAGTACAACGGCGAGCTAGCAACCGGATAAATCGATTTTCTCTTCGGCGGTTCTATCGCGAGCGTGATGCAGTTAACACACTTTCAAATACCGTCCTGGGCATGAAACATTTATTTTACGAGGAATCCAGCCAGGCATCGATACTGACAATGGTATGTGCATTCATTCAGCATTTCAATGGACCCAACGGTGCGACACACCTGGTGGAGCTTGACATTTGGCGGTTTCTTCACCTACCTCTCCTTGTACGGCACCAACCAAGTTCAAGTTCAGAGAATGTTAACCATCAAGTGAGTATACCTCGCTACACGGGCACTTTCTACACGAAGGTGCGTGCGTGGCCCCGCAATATCGCGGATTACACACGTCCATCGACATTCCATAATTAAACGTCTTCGCTGACGTGCCTCTAAATGTGAAAAATTTCATCCCGACGGAGATGTTGCGAATTTATGTA